CTCATCGCGCTAACCCACCGTGTCGAGGAACGCGGCCATACGGATATAGCGGGACCCACCAATCCTTTTTTTTAAGACATAAATTTTTTTTTGGGTTCATCGGACCCACCAATCACCAAGCCCTTTATTCCGACGTGGGACCACAGCGTGCTGAACTTAGAATTTGCTGACGTGGCTACACTGTCACGTGATATATTGGATAGTAAAGAATTTAATTGCACGCTGTCACGTGATACATAATTTGTTATATATATATTGGATTAAAATTAGCTATAATAAATTTTAAAATTCTTAAATTTATTTTAGTTCAAATATAATTTAAGAAAATGATTGATTATTTATGAATTATATTTAATTTTGATAAATTTCAATAATTTTTTTTAGTTCTTCTCCTTTATATGAATATTAGAGTGCCTTAATCATTAGATAAAAATTATCGAGTGTTGTCGTTCTACATCAAAGAAGAGAAGGGCCCATCCCAACAACTCCAATCAAAGAGAAATGAATATTATAATAAATATAGTAAGATAGAAATGGAATAGTGAGATTTAATACGAGTTTGTGCGCATTGAATAAATTATTATTTTTTACTTATATTCTTTAACTAATTAGTATCTTAATTCTTTTATTTTATTGAGAAGATTATCTTTCAAAGTTGTTAAGATTGAGGATTTGCCCTTAGACGTTTTAGGTTTGAAGGGGTAGAAACTTTATGACTTATGAGCCATATTTTGACATTTATAATGCATTTAATTAGTTGTTGTAATTGACCTTTAAGTTTGGTTTAGTTGTCAATAATGTAGACATATTGTTTAAATAATATTATTAAATAATAGGAATTTGTAAAGTAGTTTAGGGTTTTGGAGAAAATTTTGGTAGCAAATATGCTCAATCAAATTTCATTATGATTATTTTCTTAATTATTTAATTTATTTTGAAAAAAATTAGGTGATATTATGATCGTGAAGGTATAATCATATCCCTCCATATGTACCTATAATCCATAAAATTATGTTTGGGATAATAGTGTTGATTTATGTGAGATCTCGTTCCCTTACTGTTCCTCTCTGAATTGGATTTTCCTCCCAGGATCGGCCAGGACGATGTTGAGATCGTCCAGGCCGATCAGTGCATTGAAAATGGCTGATTTCTGGAATGATTTCTGGACTGGATAGTCCACGACGATTTTGGATCGTCCTGGGACGATCAGTTCATGGCAAAATCCCGAGAGCAAAACCGAAATTATCGTCCTGTATCGTCCTGCAAAATCGTCCACTACGATTGGAAATTGGTCACATCGTCCTGGACGATGTCGCGATCGGCCAGGACGATCAGACTAAGGATATAAGGAAATCAGCTCGTTTTGAGGAGAGAGAATTCATTTTTATAAAATCAGAAATATCTGAGGAGAGAGAAAGAGAAAGGAAAAGAGAAGGGAAGCTGGTTTTCGGAGGCCGCGGAGCGCTTTTTGTCCGACGCCGCTGTTGGGAAAAGTGTAGATCTCGTGGTAAGGACTCCGAATCCTATTTCTGTTTTCATGTTGTAGGCTTTGGTGACCTGTTGGGCTATTTAAGCTCATTATATGTGGTTAACAATTTCAGGTCCGAGCAAGACAACTGAAATGGAGTTCGATCAGAATGTCAGACGAATCCTTTCACTATGGATGCCTGGGGCGCCACAATCTATAATTTTATTGCATTGTATAAAATAAAATTATTATTATCTCACATGCAATTTAATTTAGAGATATTTATATTTATAATATTCTGAAAATTATCGGCCTATTTATTGTTTAATTCATAGAAATTCAACTATTTATAATTTTATATAATAAAAAAACTATTATTTTCTTAATGAGACCTTCGACAATGAGGATAAAACCACAACATGTCATGATAGAATATCACTGGATAAATAGAAGGTGAGAAAGTTGCGACAACAACTGATCAATAGGGAAAATGAATCCATGGGATTGGCGGTGTGTGATGGGAAAAGAAGTGATGTGAAAATCATGACGGGATCTCAATGAGGAAGGAGATCTATGAGATCAACAGCATGCAACGGAGGAAGAGATGAAATAAGGGGCGATGTGATCTCACTGAAAAATGGTGGGCGAATTATTGGCATGCGAAAGATAAGAAGTTTAGTGATATATTGTAATGAAGAGGGTAAGGAGGGTGTAATGTTATAAATTATTCAAAATTTGAAGACTTATGCTGTGTAAATAAATTTTTTAATTATTAAATATTAAAAAGGACAATTTTAATTGCTTTATATGTAAACACTGAATTATTGGCATGTGAAAGATAAGGAGTTTAGTGATATATTGTAATGAAGAGGGTAAGGAGGGTGTAATGTTATAAATTATTCAAAATTTGAAGACTTATGCTGAGTAAATAAATTTTTTAATTATTAAATATTAAAAAGGACAATTTTAATTGCTTTATATGTAAACACTTCAATTAGTTTATATCCTCGTATAATAACATAGAAAATGTTTAGTACTAAACTTATTTATTTAAGACCTCCCTTAAGGTGGTTTAAAAAATGGCTTCACTGAGATTTCATTTGGGAAGGTTTTCTTACAACTTCTTAAACCAGCTTTCTAGCATAAAGAAAACTAAAAGCTACTTTAAGACTTCGTTTGAGATAACTTCCTTAATGTGTTTAAAAGTAGTTTTTTCGTACAAATATTACTAATTCAAAAAAAGTTTTGTATTAAAAAACTGCTTTAGAAAGGAGTAAGAAAACCTTCCCAAACAAAGCCTAAGTTATCAACAAGGAGAAAGCAGATGTAATAACTTTATTATTCAGCCATAATTTACACCCATGAAATCTTTCTCGAATCATATCTTTGACCATTTTTTTTTAGGCATGCAACACTTATTTTTAACTTTCCGAAACGAACATTTTAATGATTTTAATGTTAAAACTGCCATCAAACACGCCTTGCATGCCATAAACAAATTTTGAGATTTAATGAGGAAAGTCTCTATTTGATGAAAATCATCTTTGCTAATCCTTTTCATATGTCTTGTTATGAGTAAAGAAAACATCGATTATGAGCAAGGGCGGATCCCCCTTTAGCAAGCTGTATTTATTATTTATAATGGTGAGTTTATGCCACCAAGCTGAAAATTAAAGAAGTAATAAAAGTTATTTTAAAAAAAATGCTTATGAAATTAACTAATAAAAATGCCCACGATTATATTGATCTTCAGTAGCACATCCATTAAATGTAATAGTACATTTACTGAAAAATTGTGTAATGCCTCTTTACATGTATGATTAGAATAGATAACAACGTATTCAAATATTATGTGCTTGACTCGAGAATAAAACGCGTAGCATAAGATCTTGTATATATATATATATATAATTAATAGTGTAATTAATAATTAATAAGTACTTTGTATATAATATATTTTTAATTATACATTTATTTTTAGATTTATAATTATTTTCTTCACATTTAAATTCCTAAATATCATAAATTTTAAAATATGTACCAAACAGTTTCTCAGAATTTAACAAGATTTAGCATTTGACATACCAAACAGTTTTCAGGACTTAAGATTTCGGATTTACTAAATTCAAATTTACTAAATCCTATTAAAGTTAAATCCCACTTGTTGCCACACAGCCCATTAGGAATTTTTATTAGGTACGGACACCTGACGTAGCTCTACATCCGGACGCCAATAAAATGTCACAACGTGCTCTTACTCTCTACCGCGTGGCTTGACGACCCGACCCAGACCGGAACCTAATATTGCTATGTATTAACTGATTTGTATAGATCAGGATATTGCTAAATTTTGCTCGGTAACTAGCAATACCCATCAATACCCCGGTTTTGTTAGGTATTGCTTGGTATTGTTAAGTATTGCTCGGTATTGGTTTTGACAGAGTGTTATTTCTCGTTATTATCAAGCAATGCCTAGCAATACCGAGCAATACACGAACATAGAAATACTAGGTTTCTGTTCCGGGTCGGGTCGTCGAGCCGCGCGGTAAAGAGTAAGAGCACGTGGCGACATTTTATTGGTGTCCGGATGTAGATCTACGTAAGGTGTTCGGACCTAATAAAAATTCCTAACTTAGGCTTCGTTGTGTGATGAATTTCTTACTGCTTCTTAAAGGAATTTTTTAGTATAAAAATTAAAATTTTGATACTAAAAATTTATTTTAAGAAGCATTAAGAAAATCTTCCCAAATAAAATCTTAGGCTTTAGGCTTTGTCTAAGACAACTATCAACTGCTTTTTTTATTGCTTTTATTATATTAAAAATCTAATTTAAAAATAGTAAGAGAATTGTTATAAACGAAGTCTTATTATTGATTTCTGAAGTAAAATTTTAATACATTTTTTAAAAATAGTAAGTAATTTTCTTTTGGAAAGGTCGTTTATAAATACTAAAAAACCTGTTCCAAATAAAGTCATACATATTTCAGTTACCAAAAAGAGCTTTTCACAAAAAATAGTAATATTACGAAATTATTATTATTATCTAGAAAGTAAAATCATAGGAAACTGTTCTACACAGACTCTTAGATATTATTAGCAGCAATATAAATACATAGTTTTTTTTTTAATTTATCTTGAATTATATATTAATCTGTTAAAATGTATTGGAAAGTAATTAAATAATTAAATAATAAATAGCTTTATGCGGCGCGGATGGGGGCGAACAAGCTGTGCCGCCTGCTAGAAGCAAATCTCGTACGGGTCCCGCAAAGATTTCCTGCGGCCACGTCAGCTGTCTCATTCTATGGTTCTTTTGCGAGTCTCTCCAACATATTCTCCGAAGTCCATATTGACAACTCAGCGAACGTTTGAGGCTAATGGCCTTGTCGTAATTTTTTTGTAGTTGAATGGCATACTTTGACTGCTATAACGTCTTCGTGCATTTAACCTCCGGTAAAAAATAAATAAACTAATAAAGAAGCCGCGGACGGGTGAAGAAATCCGGACAGCAGCGCTGTAAAATCTTTCTCTCTCCGCTAATTGTTGACGATTCTCGCTCTCTGCAACTACCCGCTCTCATAAGACAAGATCGAAGAGGAAGAAAAGGATGAGAGGACTGGAGGAATTTCTTCGAATGGTAGGAAGAAGAGAAGAGTATCAGTTCGATATTGGATCTCTTCGACCTCTGCACCATTGGTACGTAGCTTCTCAGATCAAGCAAATCCGTTCTTCTCTTTGGTCTTCGGAATGAGACCCATGGCCGCGTGTTCCTTAATTTGTTGTTTCTGTCGAAGTTTTCTTGAACGTGGTGTTTGTGGTAATCTTTCTGGGATTCTGATTTATTGCTTGCGTTGTGAATGCATTGTCCTAATATTTATTTCTTCTGCTTCTTCGCTTTGGATTTTTGCTAGTTTTATTTTGTTTTAATTTGTGGTTTTGCTGTTATCTTGGATTTCCTAAAGGTTAGGATAGGAGAAGAGGTCAATGAGAAACGGTCGGGATCCTGTAACGGCTTACATCATCGCAAGCCCCTGTTTTATCCTATTTTTGGCAAGAAGAAACTTTATTTATATGTAGACGGGAGGCGTAATCTTTGAAAGTTCTTGTTGAAGTAACCTAGTTCTGGAATTTTGTGATTCCTTCGTAATACAGAATGGTTGTTTTGATGTTTATTCAGTAAATGTGGCATAAGGTTTGCTTTTTTGAATTCAACCAATTTTAACATTTTGGATAGGAAAAGGTGGGACAATATATTATAAGTGGCTGCACATTGTTATCCCTACCTAATTCCTTGAGGTGGAAAAGGATTTATATCCTCTACCTATTTTTTTGTGTGATTTGCCTCTTCGATCCTGTTGAATTCATGCTAGATTCAGTGCTAGCAGATATGTTACACTTGCCGTTTGCTTTATTTTTTCACGGCATTTTAGAATTTTATACATTCTCTCTATGTCTCTCTTGTGCTCTGCTTCAGAAGAAATTTGTTTTTTGTTAAGGACTGTTATCTTTGGTAATAGAGCTATATCATTGCATAAACTTATTGTTGTGATGACACTTTTCTATCTGATGGAATGTTTGATTATGTTATTTTCTTATTTTTTTCGTTTCGTCAAAATAAGTTTTATTTAGTATACATTTTCATGGATATATTTTATTCAATACATTATGTAGTTTTATTATGTGATAGAAAATTTGTTACTGTATAATATGTATTTAATGTTTTAATTTTGTAAAAAAAATCCAGAATTTGTAAAAAATCAGAAATTTTTATGTAGAATATTTAAGAAGGAAAAAATGATAGGATCTAGTCCAATTGTAACATCTTTTATATAATTGGATGTCTGCCCTTCTCCATAATTGAAAAATATATGATTATTGATACACCTTGGTGTCAAAAACAACAAACGAACAAGAGAAATTCAGTAAAAAATAGATTTGTCTATTGCTAGGAAATCAAATAACAAAAGCAAGATATAATGGTCCTCTTTCGATAGGAAGACCTTCTCTCCCAAATCTTAGACGCCACTAGGATCCCTCACAAAAAAAATTACATCACTCAAAACAAAATATGCATAAACCTAAAATTAACCCTACTATGGATTTAAATAAGCTTCTTCCCTCCCTCCAAAATCAGCCTTCTTCCTAATATAAGTCCCTTTTTAATTTGAAAAATAATTCAATTAGGAAAGGTTTCAATGAGGAAAGAAAATAAATCAGAAAAAGATTTCCTAAGTGATTTTCTTCTAATATAATTTAGGAAATCTTCCTAAACAATTAAATACTTCTTAAATAGTTTAAACATAATTTAGGAAACCTTCCAAAACAATTAAACATGATTTATGAAACCTTTCTAAACAATATAAACATAATTAAAAAACCTTCCTAAACAATTCTCTCTTAGTTAGGAACCTTCCTAAACAAGGTGGGTCTCCCTGGCGTATCAATACTCCCCTCCCAAAGAGCCACCTTATCCTCAAGGTGTAAAGAACGGAATTGTCTCATGATCATTTGTTTTAACAACAAAATGTACTCCTGTGAGAACCACTTAGCATATGATTCAGTTCTATATCCTTCATTATTTGCTCGTGCTTCACTCTAGATAATATATCATCTTTCAACAGTTTAACATCTTTGCCAATACCTTCACTTTTTATCCACTTGATCCAGTCATCCCAGTCATCAACTATTTTTTTCCACTCAAAGCCAAAAAGGTTAAAAATAAATGGCACAAAAACCCAGATAACAACAAGGAACCACATGGATGTCGTGAAAAGCATAAAGGTTGTTGAATCATTAGTTGCAGATCCATAGATTTGATAAACAATTAGTGGCAACATAAGTTCCAGATCCTTTATAAAATAACTACTAGAGTACATAGTTCTCTGCATGTCGCCTAGCGAATCCTCATCTAGTAGCTCAATATTTTGGTCTGCCATGTAGGATTGTCCGTCCAAAGTAATGGGATTTTATTCCAAGCAAGAATATAAAGAACACTAAGTACAGTTGAAGTTGTATGATGATTATGTCGCCCAATGCAATTCTAAATCCCCTTTTTAGCCCAATCTCCATAACCATGGGTAAGTCCATCAATAGACTAAGCTGGATGGCAGAATGAGATGCCATAACAACCTTCAGAGAATTATTTCCTCTCATTAGTGCTTGCTTCATAATGGCAGACTCAAGCCCATTTAATGATAGGTAAGGCTTGCCATAGAGGAAAAAGTTAACTATGATAGCATGTGGAAGAAGTCAAATCAGTTGTCCAAGTAATAGATATCTTTGCTAAGTATTTATTCTCTAATGCTACAGGAAACCTTTATTTTAAACAGGGAGATTTGGTTTAGTCCTACATCACGACCCTTCCCAACTGGAATATACTTATGGTTGGTGATATTTCCTTGCTTTAATGTCGAATTGAATCCTGCAAAGATATCCTCACTTAGGTTGATTCTATGAGAAGCCTTGCTTATGTCACCTCTAATGTTGTGAAAATTTTTGTCAAATACATCTCGATGCTTATATTGGAAGCAGACCTTCAGTGGAGTAGCCAAAACTCTTTGTCCAATTGTTACAAAACTTGTTTCTTGGCTTGACATGAACCATCCCAAAGATGAAATGCTTCTTGTAAAAATATGCCCACGTACACCATGAATGGTTCATGGGTGTAGCCATGGTCTTCATTGAATTCTTGAATAAGATTTCTCATTTCAAAGCCTCTTCCCAATAGTTATGCTGGTTCATATCAATTGCCTGAAGAGCCTCTCCTTTGGTAAAGACGACTGCATGGTTTTGATTTTCTAGCTCACTTTCACCAATCTTTGTTGCTCCAGGTAATTTGACGCAATAGATTTCTTTAGTAGCACCATCAACTTGGCTTTGCAAGTTTATTTCTTTGTCCTTTTCATTCACATATTTCCCTTTGTCGATCCGTTTATCTTCGGAAGAAGCTTATGCATCACTTATTGAACTTTCACGGTTCTTCTCCTTAATTATTTGCATCTTCAACTTTTTCATCCTTAGATCGCCACCACTCCAACATCTTCTTCTTCCTCCTCCAGTGTAATAGTGGTCGTGATCTCTCCTTGTTTCTCACGTGTATCGAGGGTGGGACTCCCACATTTCCTCCATCCGCTTCACATGATATAATCCCCATGGCTCGGTCTGTCCTCCTCCTTCGATCGTCCACTCTCCTTGTCCAAAAAACCTCCTATAATAGTTGACCACTCCACCATATCCACAATAAAACTCTCTTCTTGTTGTCCCCCCATTCGAAAACCCTATTTCCCCCCTTTTGAGAGCCCTATTAGGTGGCTCTTGATGAAAGGATCTCTTTTTGTCGAACTCTTCCCTTCCAATCTCTTTCCCTTTAGATTCGGCCAAGGGAATCCCGACCAAATCTTGATTAGGGTTAGCAATTGGAATTGTCGGTGAGGTTTTAGATCGCATCTCCATGATCTTTCTCATCATCTCCTCCAAAATTTTCTTTTACTTTGCTTCAACCCTAGGAATCACCGGTGAAGCTTTCAACTGCATTTCAATTATTTTCTTCATCATATCTTTCAAATTCTCAAACATTTCTTCCATTGCTGAAATATGTTCATTCATCATCCCACATCAACTCGTAGTTGTCCTACTTCCCCTTCCAACTTTTCTTCCAACATCTCAATTCTTCTTCTGCCCATTGAGACTCGGTTCAAGGCTTTAACAGCAAAAATCAACAACTTTAATGCGAATATGACCTTCCAAACAGCAAAATTCAACAAACAAAGAGGGAAACTCAGCAAGAAAATCCGACATTTCGTTCCAGGACACCACTCTAATACCAATTTAATATGTATTGTTATAAAAAACAACCAACAAACAAGAGAAATTCAGTACAAAACAATTTTTTTATTGCTAGAAATTCGAAAGAAGGCGATCATCTCTTTTAAATCCTAGTGCCGCTAGGATCCTTCACTTTCACACAAAGAAAACTATAGCACATAAGACAAAATCTACATAAACCTAAATTAAACCCTACTATGGACTTAAATAAGCTTCCTCCCTCCCTCCAAAATAAACCTCCTTCCTAATATGTTTCCCTCCTTAATTTGAAAAAGAATTCAATTAGGAAATGTTTCAATGAGGAAATAAAATAAATTAGTAAAGGATTTTCTAATTGATTTTCTTCTAATATAATTCAGGAAACCTTCCTAAACAATTAAACATAATTTAGGAAACCTTTCTAAACAATTAAACATAATTTAATAAACCTTCCTAAACAATTAAATACATCTTAAATAATATAAATATAATTTAGGAAACATTCCTAAATAATTTAAGATGATTTATGATTCATTCCTAAGCAATATAAAGATAATTAAAAAATCTTTCTAAATAACTCCCCCTTAATTAGGAATCTTCCTAAACATCCCTTTGATTAAAAACCTTCTAAATATCTTCCTCTGGGCTCCACAAGGTGGGCCCCCCTAGCATATCAATTATACACAATTGAGAATAATTATCTATTTCTCATTGTAGGGATTATAGAAATTGGGTATCTACAAACACACAATTAAGCCCCAATAATATGGTTCGATATTAATAGTTAAGAGACAATAGTTAAATGACGGATGTCTTATGAAGCTGGTGGTGATTGCTAATGTTGGTCGTCGGTGATGGTTGCCAAAAAATATAGTAGAGTTATCTGAAAAATACAGGAGACCATGTGATCCTTCAATCATTTTTTTTCAAGTTTTCAAATAAACTTCAAGCACTTGATTTGGGTTAATTTGGTCTCCAATCAAATTATTTACAGTGTCGATCGGTTCGTATCGTTGAAAGTTTAGTTTCGTTATAAATTTGTTGAAATTAGATTTCTGATGCTTTTGAATTTAATTTGTAAAATTTACAATTCAAATATCACTTTGAGATTCGCATTGTTTTTAAGCGAATTTTTTATAAACTTATCATTTACTCCCTTATTTTTTGATATTGAAAATTATATCATTTCAAAATATATATCATCTCTTCAAATGAATTTTGTATTTTAATGTAGTTATTAATTCGTGTTTTTTATTTTGGAATTTTCAAACATGTGCGCACACTACGTTTTTTCTATGCATAATGTGGAAAAATCATTCATGCGTATTGACCTAGACATGTATTACTGATCCTACAGGTGATAAATAATACGTTGGCTGCTGCTTTCTAGAACGCTTACTTGATTTTGTTAATTATTGAAGACTAGAAGTTGGGTTATTTCTTTTCATTAGCTGTGAACATTCTTTCTTGAAATATACATTGGCATCCTCTAGAATCATGATACCAAATTCGGCAAATCTTTTAACGATGAACTCGGATGAAATGACGGATTTTCCACAAAATGAAAAAATAATTTCTCGGGTGATGAGTTCTCCTGGCCTGATTTCGGACCTGGGAAGTATACAAAATGATGCTGATTCAGGCAGTTTGACATCTGTATCACGTCAAAGAATAATAATAGTTGCCAATTTTCTCCCACTTCATTTTTTGAAGGAGAAACAAACTGGAAAGTGGTGCTTTTCATGGGACGAAGACTCTCTTCTACTGCAGCTTAAAGATGGTTTATCTTCTGAAACTGAAGTCATTTATGTTGGGAGTCTGAAAGTTGATGTTGATGTTAGTGAGCAGGAAGAAATTGCTCAAAAGCTTTTGGATGATTACAAGTGCGTCCCAACGTTCCTTCCAATTGACCTTCAAAAGAATTTCTATCATGGTTTCTGTAAGCAACAGTTGTGGCCACTTTTCCATTACATGCTTCCCATCTGTCTCAACAAGGGTGACCTCTTTGATCGGTCTCTTTTTCAAGCTTACGTTTCAGTCAATAGAATATTTGCTGACAAGGTGATGGAAGTGATTAATTCAGATGATGACTATGTATGGGTTCATGATTATCACCTAATGCTGCTTCCCACATTCTTGAGGAAGAGACTAAACCGAATCAAGCTTGGGTTCTTCCTCCACACCCCGTTTCCTTCCTCAGAAATTTATCGGACTCTACCTGTCAGAGATGACATTCTTAGAGGATTGCTTAATTCTGATCTAATTGGATTCCATACATTTGATTATGCCCGGCACTTTCTTTCATGCTGTAGTCGGATGCTAGGGCTGAACTATGAGTCTAAGCGCGGTCACATTGGAATTGAGTATGGTGGTCGTACCGTTGGCATTAAAATTCTTCCTGTTGGTGTTCACATTGGACGGCTTCAATCTCTATTAAGTCTTCCTTCTACCATTGGCAAGATTCAAGAAATTGAGCAGAAGTTCAAGGGGCAAAAGTTGCTAGTAGGTGTAGATGATATGGACATCTTCAAAGGCATCAGCTTGAAGTTGCTGGCACTTGAGTTGCTACTCGATAGGAATCCTGATCTACGAGGAAAAGTGGTACTTGTTCAAATTGTAAATCTGGCAAGGAGCTCTGGTAATGATGTGAAGGATGCAAGAGCAGAAACAATGTCATTGGCAGAAAGAATCAACCTTCGGTATGGCAACCAAATCTACAATCCTGTGGTACTTATTGATTACGCTATCCCCTTTCATGAAAAGATTGCTTTCTATGTTGCTGCTGAGTGCTGCATTGTAAATGCCTTAAGGGATGGAATGAATTTGGTTCCATATGAATATGTAGTTTGTCGACAAGGAACTGAGGAGATGGATAAATTAAGAGATATTGGCAGAGGTTCTCCACGAACCAGTACACTTATTGTTTCTGAATTTGTGGGATGTTCTCCATCCTTGAGTGGAGCTTTCAGGGTAAACCCTTGGAGCCTTGAGGATGTGGCTGATGCTTTGTATCAGGCCATTGACATGAACGAGTCTGAAAGACAGCTCCGGCATGAAAAGCATTACCGCTATGTGAGCTCTCATCATGTGTCGTATTGGGCGCGCAGCTTCACACAGGATCTTGAGAGAGCATGCAAAGATCACTACAACCAAAGGTGCTGGGGTGTTGGTCTTGGTTTAGGTTTCAGGGTTATTGCCCTTTCTCCTGGTTTCAGGAAACTATCTGTTGGCCATGTTGTCTCGTCCCACCGCAGATCCAATAGGAGAGCAATCTTCTTAGATTATGATGGAACACTCATGCCAGAAACATCTATAGTAAAAGATCCAAGCAGTGATATTATTTCTATGCTAAAGACTCTGTGCAGTGACCCTAGAAATAATGTGTTTATTGTTAGTGGAAGAGGGCGGGCTCCTCTTGCCAACTGGTTTTCATCATGTGAAGCACTTGGAATTGCTGCTGAACATGGCTATTTCATCAGGTTTTCATATTTTAGCTCTAGATTTGGCTAAGGCTACTTACCATCTCTGGATTTTCATTTGACTGGCGGCGTATCATGTTTTCCTTTTGTAGGTGGAATGCGTCTTCTAATTGGGAATCTAGTCCAGTTGTGGTCGATCCAGATTGGATGAACATAGCAGAACCTGTCATGACTTTGTATACAGAGGCAACTGATGGATCCTACATAGAAGTGAAGGAGAGTGCTTTGGTCTGGCATCATCAATATGCTGATCCTGTCTTTGGCTCATGCCAAGCAAAGGAATTGTTGGACCATCTTGAGAATGTTCTTGCTAATGACCCGGTGGTTGTTAAACGTGGGAATCTTATTGTGGAAGTTAAACCTCAAGTATGTGTTTCACTATTTTCAATCCTAATATCTGCATATTTAAGGCTTCGTTTGGGACGGCTGATGTAGAACGGGTGTATGGGGGTGGGGGAGATTTGGAATTTGAATTAATTAATTCTCATAATGGGATATCCAATTAGATAATTAATTAATGGAGGGAAATTAATTGGAGGAATTAAGGGCTTGATTGGGGTGATATTAATGAGCTAATTAATTAAATGGGGAAGGGGAAGGGTGCTGGCCAAAGAGGTGAGAGAGAGGGAGTCTAAGTTCAATGTATGTGGACCCATGACTTTAATTACTGATTGAAATTTCAGATTTTATTCAAATGAAAGAAATTTTCTAAACTAATTCATCAATTAATAAAGTATTTAAATTCAAATAATGATTTGAATTTAATTAGGAAACTTTCCTAATCAATAAGAAATTATTTTAGGAAAGCAATTAAGAGGAGTTTTTAATTTGAAATTTAGAATTTATGAGAATTTGGAGGGATGGCTAAATTCACTTTCCTCATTGGGATTTACTAATTAGGATGGAACTTAATGTCCAATCCAAATCAAATTAATTTTAAATTTGATTTTAAAAACTTTCCTAAAATAGGATTCTATTTTACGAAAAGTTTCAAATTTCAAATTTGAATTAATTGATTTAAAATTAAATGGTTTTCCCAAAGAAGTTAAGCAAGAAAGGAAATTATTCAAGTGGAGATTGAAGAATTGGAGGCAAGGGAGGGGGAATGGCAATCAGCGGCTTGGCTAGGGGTGGTGGAGATGGGCCGGCGGTTAGGTGAACTTTAAGGGGCTGATTTGGAGATGTGGTGGTATATTGAGGTTGGTGGGTGTGATCTTCGTTTCTTCCTTTGATTAACGTCCACCACCGCAAGTCTGCATCAACCGCTTTCTTACTGCTTCTTAAAGCAACTTTTTAATACAAAATTAAAAATTTTTGTACTAAAAAGCAGCTTTAAGAAGCAGAAGAAAGCCGTCCCAAACGAAGCCTAAATCTGATTTCTGCTGTACAAACAACCAACACTGATATGATGTTTGAGTACAGGGAGTCGGTAAAGGACTGGTTGTGGAGAAGCTGCTTAAGACGCTTATAAATGATGGAAAACCACCAGATTTTTTGATGTGCATTGGTGATGATCGATCTGACGAGGACATGTTTGAAAGCATTATTTCTACAGCCTCTAGTTCACTTTTTCCTGTAGTTCCTGAAGTGTTTGCCTGTACTGTTGGCCAGAAGCCAAGTAAAGCCAAGTATTTTGTCAATGATACCATGGAAGTGATCAACCTGCTGGAAGCCATTGCAGATTCTTCTTCTCAAAGAAGCAAGGATTTAAAAAAATTGGTTTCGTTTGAAGGGTCAATGGAGTCACAAGATCTGCCTATTGTTTCTGCATGAGAAGATTATTGGTTCTCTTGTACATTCATTACTCTTTTCTGTGGCTCATAGATTCTGTGACTCTGACTCTAACTATTGTGAAGGACAACTGAAGAGATACAAATAGAAGCAGAGGATTAATTAAACTTTCGCTGACTCTACTATGCCTTTTGTAGTGGTTTTTTTTTTCTTTTTTTTTTTGTTTGTAAAGGTGACAGTATGATTGACATTATTGTTCATTGACATTAAAGGAATATTTAATATTAATTAACAAAAATTTCTTCTACTACTTGTGTGCTTCATCTGTTAAATTATTTCAATTTTAATTATGGTTGTTTTCATCAATTGCACTATTGACTTGCCTGTTTCTCTTCCTAATAACCCTAAAAGCCTTTGATTTTGATTTATGAAGGCATAGGAAGGTAGAGATGCCTTCACTAAGCTTCTATTCAAGGTTAGTGTTGATATATTTTTCTTTATTTATATTAATTTGGTGCTAAAACCACTTTTATTGGTGCTAAAACCTAGTTCAAACTTATCTTCCAAATCAAGTTTTGATTATTTTGTTCAAAATGAAAGTTCAAAATTATGTTCGAACAAGATTCAAATCGAATTTGAATCAATATTATGTAACCATTTGGAAGCTATAGAGAGTATGTGCAAAATTTCTTGTAAACAAAACTCTTAGGATGCTCAGCTAGAAGAACAACAAATGCTCAAGTAAAGATTTTTTTGTCACATCTCACCAATAATGATGTAAATCATATGCATATAATTATAATGAAATATTTAAATAGGTTAATTAATAATGACGATTAATTTTTAATATCATAGTAATAGTCAACCCTATTGATATGCAGAGTTGATAAGAAAGAATTATGTAAGTGACACAAAATCAACTCGTTTAGAACAAATTTGAACTAAATTAAAGCTTTATTTAGGACTGCTTTCTTAATGTTTCTTAAAGTAGCTTTTTAATAAAAAAATTAAATTTTTTGTACTAAAAAATTGTTTTAAGAAGCAATAAGAAAGTCATTCCAAGCTTAATGCTTCGTTTGGGACGACTTTCTTCCTACTTTATAAAGCTGCTTTTTAGTACAAAAAATAAAATTTTTATACTAAAAAGCCGCTTTACGAAGCAGTAAGAAAGCCGTCCCAAATATAATCTAAATCACACTAAACTCAAAATGCATTGATTGCATTCCAATTCATTTAGCTCAGCCATCTAATTAATGCTTAATTAGCCCTGCAATATTCCTTAAATCAACCATTTAATCTCATCCTTTTATTTGTAGGCGTAAGATGATAATTTAGAGGGTTGTTTAAAGGAGCGGATTTAGTGCCGATTCGTGCAATCAAAAGAGGGTTGCGTGCGATTGTTCCTACTGAAGACGAAATCAAGAGCCTGGTGTAGGAATTTTTTTTTTTTAAATATAAGAGCAAGAGGAGGAGACAAGCAACTGCGGGATCTGATCCAGGAGAAAAAAGAGTGAATCGAGAAAAGCAAAGAATCCTCCCACGATCTGGCTTGTGTCGAGCTCAAACACATTCATGTTCGACAGCTTATCGAGTTTGAGCTTGAACATCCCTCAGCTCGACTCGCAAGCTCGTATAGTAGCTCCTGGAATGCACTTCCGACTGGAAAATGAAATCGCGTACGTTGGAAATTAAAATTGCGACTGGGTTTGGGGAGGTTGAGTTCAACAACTAGTGACAACGAACAATTGCGATGATGGATGATGACAAAGGACGATAACGCTGGCGAAGGCGATGACAGATGTTGGCGACAGATGACGATGCTGGCTGGGGTCTCATGACGAAAGCTGGCGACAGACGACGATGCTGGCAAAGATGATGACAGATGCTTACGACGATGGTTGCTTACGTCGATGCTGGCAAATTAAGGAGACGACGGTGGATGACAACTCTACGTTAAGTCTCATGACGGACGCTAGCAATGGACGTCAATGCTGGCAACGACATTGATGAAGGCGACAATTACTAGCATAGACGGCTCGAATTGTCGCATGATCGATGAATAGCTCGAAAAGCTAGCTTTTCCCTTGTCTAGTTGAGCTCGAGCTCAATATTCGACGTTGAGCTCAACTCGAACCCCCCACCCAAGTCCAACTCGACTCGACTTGTTTGCACCCCTAATGTGGTGTGGCTTTATGGGGTTTTCCCCGTTTCTTGAGTTTTTTCATATTAAATATTATCAGTATATGATTAACAAATCCTTCCTAACCACAACAAAAGATGAGAGTTATTCTAAAAATAATCAAAATACCTCCAAGTTTTTTTGAGTGTTTTTTTTAATAATTAAATTTATTAAAGAATAGTAAAAATATAATAAATATTGGCTAGCAAGTACTTTTTTTTTGTCGTTCTCATGTCTCTCTCTGATCTCGTTTCTCTTTTTTTTTTTAACCTCCTATCATCCATTTTAATGCATTATTATACGATTGGACAATTGAATAGTATATATAATAAAAATCCATTCAATAATTTTTGGGTTTTTGAGGGTTTATATTGATAAATATAAAATTTAAAATTGTTTCTTAGTATAAAAATGCCGCACACAAAAAGATAAAAATATATAACAATAGATATACCACAATTTTCAACATAAAAAAACCGTAAAAGAAAATAATCATTATGCTTGACTCTCTTGAATATTTAGTCAAATCTTTTTATAAGCATAATGATGATCTATTAATAATTTTCTTAGGTGTACTTATTATTATTTTAGTAAAAAATTTAAAATACTCCATTGGAACTCCTATATTGACTCTTTTCAAATAAAATTTTAAAAAATTTAAATATCTCAAATATGGCATCAAGATATGTGCTTGATAGAGTCTATTTTTTATGATGTCTTCATAATATAAAAATATAAAATTTAAGATCAAATCATAAAATAAGAATCAATTATTTTTTAATAAATTCTATATTTTTATATTTAAAATAAATTTAACACACGAATTTATGACTGTATTGGATGTGCTAGCGTTGGAATTCTAGAACTTATATGATATTAGGCAAGAAGAAACACTTTTATGAATTTTGTTCTATATTCAGACAAACATGGCAGCGTACTTTGCCTATAAATAGTAAATACTATATAAGAATAATTTTTATAGCAGAATATCACACATCATTTCCCAAAATAGAATATCATACAACAATTTCCTCCTAAAATCCTATTCTTGCTCACGTCCACTCAAATCCGAGGAAGAACTGTCATTTGTTTCTTCTACAGCAGATTTAGAAAGTTCAAAACCTCTATCCCTCTAAACTAGGCCATGCTCCTCCTCTTTCTCTCTATTAAAAGGCTAGAGAGCATCATAGCTAACAAAAATAACACAATATGACTTGGTCCGATCTCCCGGTAGATCTCCTTCATTGCATCTCATCATATTTGCATATCGTCGACTTCCTCTGTTTTTCTGGTGTTTGCACCTCGTGGAATTCAGCTTTTTCTAACAATGCACTCCTAGGCATTCATTGTCGTCCTTCCCCGTGGCTGCTTCTTCCCAGTGATGTTGGAGAGGCATCTGACACACTCACCTTTCACGATCTTACCATTCAAGAAGACGAAGAAGATGGCGTCAACATCCACTATCGCTTCTCCTCCCTCACGGACTACATCTTTGGCCGCCGTTGCATTGGCTCCAAGGATGGATGGCTTGTGACACTCGACAAAGTGGATATGCAACCTCGCATATTCAACCCTCTCACAAAGGCTGAAATATCTCTCCCATCCCTATTCACCATCCCAGAAGATAAAGAGCATAGGATTAAGCTCGATGAATCTTCTGAGTTTTTTTATAATGAAATACATCCAAACTACGCCACAGATGTGGAAATTTTCCGCGATGTATATTTTCGGAAGATTGTCATGTCCTCTAATGATCAATTTGGAACTGTTGTTGTTATTTACGGCTATATTAAATTGTTGGCTTTGCTCAGGCCCAATGACAAGGCATGGGTTCTCGGCCCTTCTGACCAAAACGATAAGTGGGTGAACTTTGAAGACGTTTACTATCATGAAGAAGAGCATAGGTTTTATGCAATCACACATTTCTCGGCAGTGCTAGCCTTTGACCTCAGCGGACAAAATGTTGAATTCATTTGTCCACCAAAATATGACGAAGATGCCGCATACTCTGAGATCATGAACTATATTGCATTTTTGTTTGGAAATCTCATAAAAATTGAGAGACAGGTCGATTATGTTAAGCTTAACAAGATCAAAGGTGATGAAAGTATAACAGTGAAGACAATTAGGATATCAATTTTCAAGTTATTGCCGGATGCTGTTGCTTGGATCCCCATCAAGGACTTGGGAGATTTCTCTTTGTTTATAGGTTGTAACCAGACATTCTCGTTGCATCACACGGTTGCTCCTGGAATTAGACGAAACTGTGTATACTTCACCGACCATGTGGAGAATATGTCACCAGATGAAGTTACTCGTGATGCTGGATATTTTGATCTTCACAATGAATCCTTTCACTATTTTTTAGATTCAGATTCACAGCCAAATTGGCCCCCTTCAATCTGGCTTATGCCATCATTTTCATAAAATGGATATCTTCATCTATTTGAGGAATCAGGTGACATAAAAATCTTTGAATTATAAATATTTTTTAATCATAGTTAGTCAAATATTAATTCAGATAATATATAGTATCCTTTTCTATTTAAATATGTATTTCCAATGTCATCTTGAGCATGCCATCATTGAGATGGAGCTAATCAGTTTTGATTTGGGATCTATTAAAATATTTTTAACTCATGTGTGTAATTAAAGCCAACTGCATTGAATGTTGTGCTGCATGAAGCTTCACACGTGCTTGTCAAGTCATTCGCTCTATTTGCATTAAAAAAGAAAACTGAAATCATTATTTGAAATGTTTGCTTTGAAAAAAAAAAGGTTTTTTTATAATTATTTCAATTATAATTAGCTTTTAAATATCCTTTGTAAAAAAGCAGTCTCGGATCATTTAACATATTGAATGCACCGTTGATGAATAAATTAAGGTTTTATTTGGGATGATTTTCTTACTACTTTTTAAAAGTTTTTCAGTACAAAAATTACTAAAAAAATATTTTAAAAATCAGTAAGAAAGTCATCTCAAACAAATCCTATGACTTCATTTGTGACATACTTTTATTATTTACATATTTAATAAACATTTAAATTTTAATATCTATAGATACAGGGTTTGAATTGGTTAGACGATTATGATCAGATGACTATGGATGAACAATGATAATCAGGTGACGATAGTCATATAACGGTGTTGATCTAACAATGGTGGTTGATGGTGGTGATCGTTGGTGTCAAATGTCGAATATAATTCTAGAGTTCTAATTACTCTTGAATTTTAATTATATATATATATAATTAAAATTCAATAAGACAAGAATCGATTGGTTTGCATCTTTCATTCATGAGTTGTCACTACATTTACCTCAACCAAGCCACAAGAGTAATTTAGTCATTTAACATATTTTCAGCCAAATTCCCCTCCACATCTTCAACCTAAGGGTGTCAAAATGAATTTTCGATTCGTGTTCGGGTACAACCCGCAATTGACCCAAACATATAACACAAATAAGTTAGTAATTTAATTGAAATTTAGACCCAACCTGACCTAAACCCAAGTTAGCTCGGCTCGACATGCTTACCCGATTGGGAGAGAGGAGACCGTCGCGAGGGCACGTGGTTCACAAGCACAAGGTGCTTGGGAGAGGTGAGGTGAGCGTTAGGTCATGCAAGAGGGTGAGCTTGTGAGCGCAACCAGCATGTGCGAGTAGCAAGCTCGACGGAACGGCAGAGAGGGCGATCGCTAGGCTAGCATAGTGCAATCTGGATATCTATATAATTCATTAAAGGAAAATTGGTTTTTAATTGAACTATGTATTTACAATTTATGTTTATATATATATATTAGGAGCAAGATTCTTGAGGCAACAGAGAATTTTCCAGAGAAAGCAATTCAAGTTATTGTGGTTGCTGATGGAGAACGTATTTTGGGACAGTTATGGGGGTTCTGATTGCTTGCTTATTTCAATTTTACGGTTGAAACTATAGCATCTTTTGTGAAACATTAGAATTGAATTTTGGTATGGATTTGGCGAAAGAACAATTAAACTAGCCTATAATAGGAGCTTTATTTAGTACCACACTAATTTGTCTCCGCATTCAGATTCAGGTGAAAATTTTTTCCCGACATCGAGAAGAAAGGGAAAATTATTGGGTTTGGTCATCGGACGCATCTAGACATCCGGAATACAATAGGATGAAGTCACGTTGCAACACGACGACCCGACGCACACGCTCGATTTTTCTTTGCACGTGTTTTACCATTTACAGCACGGCCCGACAATCCGACCTAGACCAAAGATAAAAAGTCATTCTCTGTTTTATGAGAAATTGGTGGTTTTTTGTATATTAGGGTTCAGGGTAATTTCATAGAAGAGCCTGTGAAGAGAAACAATCAAGATGAATAAAAAAATGGAAATATCTTTGGATTAATTAGAATCGTTCGAGGAGATGAAACAAACCGAAGACGTAAAGGAAAAAATGTCGGAGCGGAGCACGGAACAAATGTCTGGGATTTTTACAATAAGGTTTGAACCCAAATAGATCTTAGCAAGAGACCTTATGAATGTGGAATTAATGTTTACAATAGTATTAAAGTCGAGAGTATTCCATGTATTTTTCGCCTCTCGGTAATTTTTCGTCCACGGTATCGAACGGTATAGAGAGGTACCGAGTAGAATACCGACTACCGAAAAAGATGCAGAGTGAAGTACCGAGCGGTACTGAGCATAATACCAAATACTGTGAGTGAATTACCGAGAGGTACCAAGAAGAATACCGAGCGGTACCTTAAAGAATACCGAGCACTGAGAATAAATGCAGAGAAAAATACCAAGTAGAATATCGAGTACTGAAAAAAAAAAGTACATAGTAGTACAACTATCCGATTGTTTATAGCTAACGTTAAAATTGTTTTCACATTTGCGTAGGGTGTTTATTCAAGTGAGAAAGAAGTATATGACATGTATTGCAATTATGCTCATAACATTGGATTCAGTGTTCAGAAGGACCATCATGGTTTATGGTTAAATTCGATGAAAATTAAATCAAAGGACTTTGTACGTTTGAAAGCTGGATTTAAGATGAGCATTGACTTGAATTCCAATTCTAAATATCAAAGAGCCAATACTAAAACTGGGTGTCTAGCTATTGTGAGATTTTCAGTAAGTCAAGACGAAATTTGGAAGGTTCAGAAACACATTGAGAGCCACAATCACGAATTGCTAGGCCCGAATATCAACATTTGCTTGGATCATGTAAGAACACCAGTGATGATAAGTCCTCATTTCTTAAATCCATGAGAGAAGCTGGGATACAAACGGTTGATGCATTTGCGTATCTACGTGATGAAGCAAGTGGTGAAGGAAATATAGGACTCTCTAAGAGGAATGTAAATAATTTATTCAAAAGGAGAGAAGACCAACATAACTTTATAGGATCCTCTTCTCTAAGAGGCATTTGTTATTTTTGCATATCAAGTATATCATTCTTCAGACTAAAACATTCTTCATAGGAAAAGCCATCTAATTAGTTGCGTTGAGGGGAGAGGGAGGGCAAAGAAGTTGGGAAGTGGACAACTTTTATAAGATTGCAATACATTGTTTTAGGCACACGAGTTCTAAGCATGCAATATGTTGTTTTAGGCGCACGGGAACTAATCTTGCAATACATTATTTTAGGCGCACCAGCCATAAGCTTGCAAAATGTTGTTTTAGGAGCACATGCGCTAATTTTCCGCGATCTTGCGTGGGAGGAAAAAATCTCATGAAGAACAATAATCTTAATTAAATATCAACAAAGCTAGAAATCTTTAAAATATGTTGCTCATAACAAATGCTCACTTGTGTTCGGCTGTGACGCCCGACAGTCTTGTCGATGTAGAGAAGCCTACTATTCCCTCGAATTAGACTCAATACATTGTTGGAGACTACACGCTCATAGAGAATGAGATCAGCCGTATGCCCATCTTTCTCTCCGATATTGCTTTGTAGAGGTGCTCTCAGTGAATGGAGATGGAGAAGAGGAGCTTAGTGCGACGAAGAAATTGTGAGATCGAATGGAAGAGCTGGGAGTAGATTTTGCAAACAAGGAGATGTTAACAACATTGAATCTCGTCGGCGAGGCGACGATGGCCAATGAGGGGTTTGTGAAGGGTTTTGAATAGTTTCTAGTAAGCAATCTGAGGAGTCCAATATCTATGTCGGTTCACACTTGATTCCAAATACTACATATTCTTCCGCTTATCAATTCCTTCATTCACTTGAATTATCAACATTATTTACCACTTAAAGCTTTCACAAAGTCATTCGCTCTTTTTGCATTAAAAAAGAAAAGTTGAATCATTATTTCAAATATCTGTTTTGAAAAAAAAATGGATTTTTATAATTATTTCAATTATTAGGTTTTAAATCTCCTTTGTAAAAGAAGTTTCAATCTTGAATAGATTAAAGCTTTATTTGAGACAAACTTTTCCTATCCTGCTTTTCAAATCACAATAATAACTTAAGTTTGGTCATTGTTTTTTCGTTACTTTCCAAATAAAAAAGTTTGTGTTAAGAAATTATTTTCTACAACTATTTTTTTTAAAAAATACTTACTGTACAACAAATTTTTTGTTGCTTTCAGAAAATAGTAACTATCCCAAACAAAGTCTAAGATGATCACGGTGAACATTTGTTTGTACATACAATAAATGAAATAGAAATATGATATAATGGTTATTGAGGAACTTCAACCAACAAATAAATAAATAAATTTGTTTCACGCTTGTTATCGATGCTTTATTTTGCAGGGGATCGTAAACTAGCGGGATTGAAGGAAGAGTAAGGTGATGAAGTGAACACAGCAGTCGCCAAGGCTTTGTTAGAGATGAATGAGTATAATCCAAGAGGCAAATACATATTTGGTTATGTAGCTTCTTTTGTGAAACAAAATTGTGTCAAGATACAAATTGGAATGGGAAGGATACAAATTATATAAGGAGGAATTTGATAATTATTACATATATTTTGGATAGTATCAGTCTCATATAGAATCTTTTTTGGAGTTTTACTATAGAAGCAAGATACATATAATTTACTAATATTAATGCATATATTATGGCATTTTGGCTTACCTATATCAAAATTCTTCATATACATTGGCTATGGAGCATCAATAAAGTCTTGTAAAAGATTCGCCAATGATGTACTTCTTTTTAGTAGCTTTCACTTAAACTTTAATTCATATATTCGGATTTTGTTTGTGTGATAAACTTTGTTTAATCACTTAATTTTAGAGATGTATGTGGTTGAAGATAAAGGTGGAGCGATTGCTTTAATGCTAGCCACCTTGCTATTTTTGTTTATCATAACTGTATATGTATTGCAAGTATAAAGATTTTTCGAGTTTTAAAGATGATCTTTGGGGGTTTAAATATGCTCATGAATTTAAATGACTTCTAACATGTATTTGAGAAGCTTGGCCCAAGTTTA